TACCTACTTTTAACCCTCAGCTCTTGTTCAGCGGACACACAACATTTTGATAATCCATTCATTTCTTGATGAACTTTTAAGTTGATTTTACCGTTCAGCTGTTGTGAATCATGCTGTGATGGACATAGTTACAAAGACAACTGCTTAAAACCTTGCTTTCTATTCTCATGGATATACCCCCAAGTGGAATTACTGTATTAAAAAAATCTTTTGAAGAAGTCAAAATCTGGCTTTACCTCACTGGGACTATAAGCAACACGAAAAGGCAAGTCAACCAAAGTTGCCGTACCTAAAGCAGCAGGTGACTGATAGGTGAGCAAGTTAGACCATGTTGAAGTGTGGCTCTGAATTCACAGGAATATTTTCTCTTGGGTCCAGATTCTGAATCTTCTTGCATTTTCCCTCACTCTGAGGGCCAAGGCTTTACATAGCTGGTCCTTTCATTACCAGTGGTATTGCTGGATAAAATGGGATAGCTGAGGACTACCTCACTGGTGGCTGTTGTGAGGACATCAGGAGATGACACTTGCACATTGCCTGTCAGCCTGGCTGCTAGACTAACAGAGTTTCCTGTTATTGTTATGCGGCAGCTGGAGGAGGGAGCCAGGCTATGACTCCATAGACTGGTAACCTTGACTCCTATCATGGAAGGAAACTGTCCCAGAGAAGGACCAAGACATGGTCTTGGGGCCTTTGTGCCTTTAAACCATAATGCTGGGGGAGCTAGTGTCTCTCTTTAGATATCTCCATGAAATACTTGCTTCCTCAGGTTCCATCGGTGCATTGATGGCTTGGCTGGTCAGCTATAAGCCAACCTTGTTTGGGTTTCTATTCCTTCTGCTGTTGCTTAGCAACTGGCTGGTCAAGTATGAACTCAAGCCTCCCCCTCCAGAGCCAGAGCAGGTGAGCAAGAGGTGCCTTAAGATGATGGGGTGGTTCCACCTGGATTGGGGCGTGGAGAGACAAGAAAGGTGTGTGGATGGTAGAGTAAGACTGAGGAACTCGGGATTCAGGTCAAAGTCCCTGTTTTCTTTCTTTCTGTTAATAAGAGGGCTAAGCTCTTCCTCCACAGTTTTTCAGTCCAGGATTCAGTTGTCTTGGCTGTAAAATAGGTCCCCCATCCCGGAATCTACTCCCCACTGTGTTTGATGTCAACCTGCTTTAGCAATAGTAAAACCTTTGACTTTAAAAGGAAAAAAACCTTAAATGGATAGATTAAAGATATAATAAGAAAGACAGTTCTAAAATAGAATAATGAACACAACAAATATGTGCATAGATAGTGAAATGTTTTATACAAATGTTTTTTGCATTGTTTTGTGGTCACACCCAGTCATGCTAAGGGGTTACTCCGGACTCTGCTCAGGGATCACTCCTGGCAGGACTCGGGACCATATGGGGTGCCAGGGATTTAACCTGGGTCGGCTGTGTGAAAGACAAACTCCTTACCTGTGGTACTCTCTGTCACCTACAATTTTTTAAATTAATACTACTAATACCATGGGGCTGGAGCGATAGCACAGCGGGTAAGGCTTTTGCCTTGCACGCAGTCAACATGGCCGACCCGAGTTCGATTCCTCCGCCCCTCTCGGAGAGCCCGGCAAGCTACCGAGAGTATCTCGCCCGCACGGCAGAGCCTGGCAAGCTCCCCGTGACATATTCGATATGCCAGACACAGTAACAACAAAGTCTCCAATGGAGATGTTACTGGGCCCGCTCGAGCAAATCGATGAACAACGGGAGGACAGTGACCGTGACTGTGACCGTACTAATACCATACAATCTATGGTCTTGTTTGTGAATCATATGTTAGTAAATTTTTTTCACAGAGGCAGGATTTCTTAATTTTCATGCAATTGTGAAGAGAGACTCAAGGAGGTAGGGATATACACAGGGTACTTTAGTTTTCTTTGTGATATTTTCTTAAGTTGGTGTGGGAAATTGGGTATTTGTTGTAATATTGTTCTCTCAACACAGTTTCAAAATGCGGGGATTTGCTCATTTGTGGATTTTATGGTAAACAAAGGACAGAAACTTAGACTTTGAATAAATAGTATACAGTACTGGATTTTTTTTTTAAATTTGGGGGCTGGAAAGATAATACAGTGTGGTAAGGCACTTGTCTTGAACATGACCAACCTGGTTTTGATCCCTGGTACCATATATGGCCACCCACCACCATCCAGGAGTGATCTCTGAGTGGAGAGCCAGGAGTAAACCCTAGAATAGCTGGTTGTGCCCCCCAAAACAAAAAATGTGTGTGTGGGGCCAGAGATATATTACAAAGGGCAGGGCACTTACCTTGCATGTGGCCAACTCAGGTTCCATTCCTAGCATTGAATATATTCCTCCATCCCCACCAGGAGTGATCCCTGAGCACAAAGCCCAGAATAAGCACTGAGCACAGCCAGGTATGTCCCAATGCACTCTCGCCCATCTTGGGGTGGTGTTGGGCAGATCAGTTAAATTTGTGAAAATTGTTATGTCTCGCCATGAGGACATTAAGTCCTTGTTCAAGGGTTTACTAAGCTGTTGTTGCTAGTTGAACCTTCTGTGTTAATGTTCTTGTTATTTGAGCTTAGTTGGCTTCTATGCTATTTTCCCATCTAATTTGATGGGAAAATTTGACACTGGGATGTCAGTATTGTAGAGTTTAGAGGTATCAAGCATCCACAAATGTGGCCACACACTCTAGAAACTCTAGGATATTTCACTGGGAAGTGCACCTACATACATGGCAGCAGTTGTACAATGTGGATGTGACTGCCAGGGCTTCTGGAAGTATGAGAGTGTAGGGGAGTGGGGACGCTGTCCACTTCCACTCCAAGAAGACCCCAGATTTTAGCCTGAAGATGATGTACCTGAAATTTTCAGCAATTTGGCATCTGCAGAGCTCAGTCATGAAGTGGTGGAGTTGGGACGTTGGAATGGTGGCAGCCGTAAGGGGTGAGTGCAGCTGCTGGGGTTTCAGTAGGGTGAGGACTTGGCCTGCCCCCCTCTCCAAGTTTCAACCAGGAGATGAGTGTATCCATGAATTTTTGTGGCTGCTTGATCTCTACTCTGGGTCCAAATTGTCAAATGGCTTTAATAAGAAAAGAAAATCCTGTTATTATTAAGTGGTAAGAGACAGGTAAGAATGACAGAGAAAAGAACATGAAGCTATAGCCAGCGAGATTTAGCACTTGGAGATTTTCTGAGTGCTGGCAAGACCCTCAGAAGAGGCACACAGCAAAGCACAGGCTCTGGAAACAGCGAATGAGGCCGGTCTAGATAAGTGTGGATCAGTGTAGATATGTGGGCCGTGTCGTTACTACTCTAAGACAAAGCCAACAGGGGGCAGAGGGTGCTGGGACTCTGGGGGCTTTCCCTGCAGGCTGAGTGTGACTTTACTATGAGATATGGCAGAGATATCCCTGTTAGTGGTGAGAATCCAGGAATATGACATTTTAAATTTTTTGTTTGCTTTTATTGAATTAGCATGAGATAAAACATTACAAAGCCGTTCATGATTGGGTTTCAGTCATACCATGTTCCATCATCCATCCCTCAACCAGTGTATATTTCCTACCGCCAATGTCCCCAGTTTCCCTCCTGCCATCCCCAAACAACCCTTCCCCCCCCCTTCCCACCCTACCTCTATGACAGGCACTTTTCTTCTTTCTCTCTCGGAGACGACATTTGTACACCAGTTGAGGGAAAGGGTCCTCAGGGATAATCAGCTTTGCTTCTTCACATATTGGTGTGGAGTTTAGAAAGAAGAGGAGAAAGAAAAGCCACCTGAAGACAAACCCCCAGCCATGCCTACTAAAGAAGTTGAGAGACTGCATGCCTGCTTCGCCCTCCAGGACAAGATCCTTGAACGGCTTCTGTTCAGTGAAATGAAGCTGAAGGTCTTAGAAAACCAGATGTTCATTGTATGGAACAGAATGAACCACTGTAAGAAGTCAAACCGACACCGGACTCTCTCCCGGGGGAAGCAGCGGCCGAGGAGGCGCGAATCCATTTTCTCCACCCTCTCTGACTATACTTCCATTTCCCCCTAAGAAACTCCGAGAGTCTGGGGTGTGCCAGACTCTTCTGATGTTACCTTGACTCAGTAAAACCCCATCAAAAGAGACTGAGTTTTCTTAGTGAATCACACCCAAGAGAAGGATTGAGGGCTGAAAAGTCGCTACTGGAAAGGATGTCTGTATGACCCAGGTCAGCCAGACAGCACCCAGTGCCATAGCCTGACAGGGTTCTAGAAGATAGCCACTCCTCTCCTTTCAGCTGGACACTCTGACTGCAGTCCAGGCTCTGTCCCTGATCACCCTGAGTATGACAGTGGCCTCCCTAGCACTGTCCCAGCTCCCCTCAGTTCCGTCCAGGTCTCTCACAGGAAGGTTCTCTCACAGGGCCAAGCAAGGCCCTGGTCAGGATCCGGAGCCAGTGTCTTCCCACCATGGTCGCTGGACTCACACCCACATTCCTGATTGTGGTCCTCTGTGATTGACCCCCTTCCATATGCATTATACTCCTAGGCATGAGTCATTAGTGTGCATTTTAACTTTGCCGTGTTTGCAGTAGCCTGGAACAAACCCAATGTTTCACTTCATCCTTTACCTTAAGTTGATAAAGTTTTATTTAATTTTATGTTGGGGTCATACCCAGCAATGCACAGGAGTTATTCCTGGCTGATGCACTCAGGAATTACTCCTGGTGGGAGTAAGAGATGTTGGGAATCAAACCTGGGTTGGGCATGTGCAAGGCAAACGCCCTACCCGCTGTGCTATTGCTCCAGCCCTGATACTGTTTTTCTTAAATAAATGTATCTGTTGAGGAAAATAATTATAAAAACAAATAAACCTTGAAGGCAGTTTCATTGGCCTGAAGTAGAATATCGCTATCAAAATAAACCCAATGAAAACCAAGCAATGTTACTAAGCTCCAACCAGAGCTTGGGTGCTCACTGACAGATCAGAGCCTGTCAATTTGGCATTTAAAAAGGGAGATTGGGAACCATGGAGAAGGCATGGTTCTTTGGAAGGTGGGGAAGGGAGGTCAGGGTGCATGACTTGCGTATGCCCAACACAGGTTCCATTTAGGCACTGCTTGGTTCCCTGAGTGTTGCCTGACTCAGTTTTTTTGTTGTTGATTTTTTTTTTCCTATTTGGGTCATGTCCTGCAATGCTCAGGAGTTACTTCTAGCTCTGGACTCAGGAAATTATTCTTGGCGGTTTTGGGGGGACCATATGGGATGCTGGGGAATGAAACAAGGTGAGCCACATGCAAGGCAAATGCCCTCTAGCCCCCTGATTTGGTCTCGGAGGATTGAGCACTGCCAAGGTGGCTGGGGGAAAGCCACCAGTGTGAATATCTGAGCAGAAATTCAGGCCCTTGCACTGAACCACTGATTGGTTGGCCAAGAATGGCTGTGGGGTCCCCAGGCCTGCTGAGCACTGCTTGAGAACACTCCCTCCAAAAAAGGGAGATTATGAGTGGGAGTTTGAGAGACCATCAAGAGTACCTTCTCTCCTCTCTACAGGGAGCTTGGAGGGAGCCATTGTTCCCTGTAGCTTTGGGCCACACCCGGCGGTGCTCAGGGATTCCTTCTGGCTCTGCACTCAGAAATTTCTCCTGGTGGTACTCAGGGGACCATATGAGATGCTGGGAATTGAACCCAAGTTGGTAATGTGCAAAGCAAACGCCTTATTTGCTGTGCTGTCGCTCCACCCCCCAGTCTCACATCTTCTAACCAAACAAGGGTGACTGGCAACCCCCATGGGCATCTCCCTCTTTGCTTTACCCTTCCGCTGGCATTTGTCCCCCTTCTACCTTACAGTGCATCACCCCTTCCCAAGCCGACTCTCCATAGTGCTTCCCTCCATGTAGACCCAGTAAAGCACGTTCCCTAGGACCTCCCCGGCATTTCCATCTTCCCCATCCCCTTGCTCCTGCTGCTGCTGCTGCTGCTGCTGCTGCAGCAATATCTGGGTGTCACACACACCACACACGTGGGGACTGTGCACTTGTTTGTAGTTTTTGCTGGGGTCGCACACTTGGGCTAGTCCATGGGTGGGTGCACTGTGGTGGCAGCGGTCTCGACAACAGTGCCAGGAGTCGGACACCTGCTGGCCATCTCACCCTGAGCCACATCCTGGTATCTCCCACATCCTGCATGTCCCCTGCATTTTTTTCTGTAATAATTCTCTGGTGGAGTATGGAATCCTGGAGCAGTGGCCTGGACTCCACATATTGCTTCCTTCCTCCCTCCTTCCTCTTAGCTAGGTGATAAACTCTGAGGGTAAACATTTCTCCTTGTGCCTCTGTATATGCCCTCACAACCCCTTACAATGGCTTCATCACCTGCATCCTTTCCTCCTCCTCCTCCTCCTCTTCCTCCTCCTCCTCTTCCTTCTCCTCCTCCTCCTCCTCCTCCTCCTCCTCCTCTTCCTCCTCCTCCTCTTCCTCCTCCTCCTCTTCCTTCTCCTCCTCCTCCTCCTCCTCTTCCTTCTCCTCCTCCTCCTCCTCCTCCTCCTCTTCCTCCTCCTCCTCTTCCTTCTCCTCCTCCTCCTCCTCCTCCTCATCCTCATCATCTTCTCTGACTGCGCACTCTGCTGCAACTGGCTGGCTTTCATTCCTAACTTGAGTGACAGCCAGCAGGGCCATCTGGGACGCCTCTCAAGCCAGTTATTTAGTTTCCTTATGACGTGAAGGGGGAGCTTAGCTGCTCTAGTCAGTTGCTGTGAGAATAGGATGAGCCACAGCACCCCTAGGTCCTTGTAAGAGTGGCTCCCCTGGGGGGAACTCCTCTGCCCCAGCACTGACAATCACCCCTCCCTGTGCGAGGCACCTTCTACTCACTCCCCACCCTGCTCCACTCCCCACCCCTTGCTCAATTCAATTTCCCCTCAGGTGGGGTGGGTGTCAAACCTGCAACACCTTTCATCAGCTTCCTGGGTCTGGTGGCTCCTGGCTAGATTTGACCAGCGGGCAAAGAGACCAAGCCATGGAGGAGGTGGAGGCTGAGTTCCCTGCCCTCCACACACACACACCCCTGCTCCACAGTTGCCACCCCCATGGCGTTTCCTTGACTGGTTTTGAGGTAGCTGGGTTCCCCCATAAAAGGGTTGCTCTCCTTGCTGGGTGACTCTGGCCTGTGATTCCCTCTGGGTTCAGAGGTGGGTGTATGGTCCCCCGGATACAAGCTCAGGCTACAGCACCACCCTTGGCTTCCCTAGAGCCTGCCCACACCTTTACAAAGGGCCCTTTTAACACAGATCCACAGACTGTTGCCAAGGGCCTTTTGATATGGCCAGGCCCCGGGGTCACCCAGAGCTGGATCATTAATAAAATAGCCACATGGTAAAGCCCTACTATGGAAAGAGAGATAGCAACTTGGCCACCAACTTGGTCCCAGTTGACATATAAAGACCTCCCCCTACGGAGGCACTGTGTCTGGGAGAGTGAGCCTCTGGGATGAAGAAGCTGATCAAGACACATGGCCATACATTCACCTAGACCTAGATGTCTTAGATCTCCAGAGACCTACCACACCAGTAAATCCACCCTGGAGGTCTGTGGTAGCTCAACAGATCCCTTGCCCATGCCATGCGTGGCTCATGGTGGTTATGCCTGGCACAATGACCCATGGATCTGATTATTCGCCCTTGATAAGTTGTTAACAATGGGTTTGGCATGCTCTGTTCATGGTTTAGCTACGCTCTCACAAGCAGATAGACCCAGACTCTCAAGGCTTAAGTGAGCACCTTTATGTGCTCACAGTCCTGAGACGCTCCTGCTGTGATGCCATCCAGTGCTGGAACTCTGAGCTGCCACCTCAGCCCGGGGCTCGGCCAACAGGGACTCTGCTTGTCCTGCTTTGCACAGGGGTATGCGAGTGGGAAGAGGGAGAGGGAAAATTTTCACCACATCAGGCAGTTTTTGGAGGCAACTCCTGGCTCTGTGCCATTTCCAGCAGTACTCGGGGGGCTGTGTGGTGCCAGGGATGGAATTGGGGTCAGCTACTTACAAGGCAAAGTGCCTTCACTCCCGTACTCTCTCCTCTGTTGCTTTAAACCAGCCACCTGCAGGCTTCAGGGACACTTGCCTCCTGTGGCCATCAGCCAGGCCTATGGAGAGACAGCAGAAGCAAGCCCTGGGGCCAGGTCCACTTCCTTCCTGTCTTTCCCCTGACTTGGTCAGATGGTTCAGGCCTCTGTGATGGGCTTTGGCCTCCCTCCACCTACAATGTCTCTTCTAGCGTTGCCAACCTTCACGGCAAGTCCCATGATGAATCCAGTTGATTTCTAGTCCTGCCAGGCAGGCTTAGGTATGAAGAGCCCCTAGATCAAGGGATGAACCTCAGAAAAAAAAATGTGGCTTATACTGGTAGACCCTGCAGTGAGCAGGGGTGTTTCACTCTAGATTTCCAATGGTGAAATAGCAGGTGGGAAACCACTCTCCAAAGCAGAAATGATTCCATGGGGTCTCCAACTCCTGGGGACCCCAGGTGCTCTCAGCATTAGTAGTAGTTCCCAGGAGTAGGTCCCCTGGTAATTGAGGTTCTGAGAACAGTTTTTTCTTCCTTCCTTCCTTCCTTCCTTCCTTCCTTCCTTCCTTCCTTCCTTCCTTCTTTCTTTCTTGGGTCACATCTGGTGCTCAGAGCTTATTCCTTGCTCTGTGCTCAGAGATCACTTCTGCTGGGACTCGGGACCATATGGGATGATAGGGATCAAACGTGGGTTGATCATGTGCAAGGCAAGTGCTTTGCCCCCTGTACTATCGCTCTGGCCCCCATGAGACCAGTTTTCTTCACTGACTTACCCTTGCCTGTGTATAGAGTATTAGGGCTGGGGAGATAATGGGTAAGGCGCTTGCCTTGCATACAGTCAATCCAGGTTCTATCCCAACCACTGCACATGGACTCCGAACACCAGCCAGAGCCAGGAGTAAGCCTCAAACACAGCCAGGCGTGGCCCAAACTCCCACACCCAAAAGTAGAGTACAGAGGAGTCACAGAGATGTGATTCTACAGGCTGAGTGCGTGCTTTGTCTGCAGGAGGCCTCTGAGCATCGCCAGGAGTAACCTCTGAGCAGTGAGCAAAAAACAGCCCTGAGCACTGCCAGATGTAGACACATCCCCTCCTCCCCCTCGACAAAGAGTGGAGTATTTAAAGATCGGCTGGGTGGGGTACACACTGTACGAATAAGGATTTGATTTTTCCAAATAGCAGTGGGTGGTCAGAGGCTATTCCAGTGAAGGACTAATATGATCTCTCGTCTATGAAAAGGATAAGAAATCCCGCCCTCACGGGGCTGTAGTGGTAATTATCTCAGCTGTAGGTGGAAAGCCCTTGGACAAATGCCTGGAGGAAGAAAAGCACTTAAATGATCCTTCAGCTGGGAGGTGCAGCCTTGGCCAGAATTTTTACACCTGAGTGTCTACTGCCACTGTGTGGCCATATTGTGGTATGACATGCTATGATTCGGGTCTAGAGATGAAGGGGCGGGGCTGGACTGAGGGAAGGCGGGAGAGCAGCATGGGGTGCTTGGGGACTCTGTAGGGATAATGGGGTGGACGCTGGTGCAGTTCCTTGGGTGATGCATGCTTAGCATCACCGTCACCCGGGAACTTGTCGGAAATTCAGATTCCCAGGTGCTACACTGGCTCAGGGCCCACAGTGTATCTGGCACATGCGGAGCATAAGCAGGGCCTCCAGGGGCTGGGCCGCTAGTCTCCACCTCAGACACATAGCAGAGTCACCGAGGTAGCTCCAACACTCTCCAGGTTGCACCCTGGGCGGCTGGGGGATGGGGTGATTGGGGGAAGAAGGGAGATTGTTTTTGAAGCCCCACCTGGCCATGTTTGGTGGCGACTCCTGGTTTAGTGCTCAGGGGTTGCTCCGGTAGTGCTATGGGGACCATAAGGTGCTGGGGGTGGAACCCAGACCTCCCGCATGCAAATCCTATTGAGCACTGATTCTGGCCTGGAGAGTGAAGCTCTCGAACTTTTCCTGGGGAGCTGGGGCCTGTCCCAGAGGCTGGGCAGAACTTGTGGCCTGAAAGCCAACTCCTGGCAAGAAGCTGCCTGTCTGGAGCCCTGTGGGTCCTAGCGGGCTGCTTTACTCGTTCATTGACTCCTCACACTCACAAGGGGTCATTGCCCTGTTTTATAGAGGAAGAAATGAACATGGTATGACTTACCAAGGCTACCCAGGCAGTGACAGAGCTGAGAGTCGAAATATTCTCTGAATATTTGACACCTAGGAGGAGCTGCCCTGGCAGGCCCCTGTCACCTGGCAGCAGATGTGAACACCCTGGGACACTTAGGGGCAGACTCAATTTCTCTGCCAGGTGCTGCCTGCCAACTCTTTGAAGCTCATGAAGCCAAATGCCCCGCAGTGCCCACATTAGTGGGAGGGCTGTGGTGCCCCTTTACACCACAGGGGCTGAGCACCAGGCATGGCTGTGTTCCTGACTGGCTCCCCAGCACCTGCTACAGAGAGTATGTGGCAGGTGCTCTTCCTGCCTAGCCTGCTCCATCCTCTCTCCACTGCAAGGAGTGCTCGCTCCCTCCAACACTGCGAGGAGTGCTTGGCTATTGAGGGTCAGTTGGGGAGTAGGGGGAACCCACCTCAGCAGTGTTCCAGAATGGGCCATGCTTGCAGAAGGGTCTGGCATGGGAGGGAGTTGGAGAGGGTCTGCCCAGCCCAATCTCAGGGCCTCTGGCATGTTCTCCTGAGTAAGGGGGAAGCAAGGGCTTTCCGAGGCCACCAGGAAGTTGGAGGCTAGGCTCAGGGGTGAAGGTAGGTGGGGGGCTAAAAGGCTGCCCTCCGTCCTGTGTGTCCGTCCCCCACTGTGCATACTCTCCAGCCTCTTCCCTGTGTTCGTGCTGTACCACCTGGGTGAAGAGGGCCTCCTTGTCTCTCTGAATGACCCCCTGGAGCTGTATGCAGGCACCTTCACCACCAACAACTTTCTGGGCCTGGTCTCAGACCTGCAGGTCCTGGGCCAATTTCCTGTCACTGTGTTGAGGATGACCAGCCAGCTCTTTGGTGAGTGACTCCAGCCACAGCCAATGTGCAGGTCTAGGTAGCTGGTCTGTCCCTTTTTGTTTGGTTTTTGGCACTCCCCCTAGCCCACCCCATTGGGTGATAGGCAGAAAGATCTGCCAGGAAGATCAGAGCCAGAAAGTCTGGGTATTTAATCCAGATCAGCTGGCAGGTCAAAACCCAGCTGACAGGTCAAGATCTTATTAAGTGAAGAAGTCGACACTTTAGTATTGGTGGACAAATCTCCAATAACCACCTAAATTTCCCTTAATATGTAAAGACAACCTCTAAGTTAATGTGAAGACCAACAACCCAAGAGACAAGTGGGGAAGGGAGAGGAACAGAATAAGCATCTTACAGAGATGGCTTTTTACAAATGGCTTTTTAGAATATTGAAAAAAATTGGGCCAGGGGGCAGAGTTTCCTGTCCCCGCGCCTGGCTGTCCTCGCCGGGGCCCCTTGGAGTGGGGCGGGTTGAGTTTCCCTCCCCGCCCCGAGCAGAGCTCCGGCAGTCGAAGACCTCCAGAACCAGCCACAGCCATGCTGAGACCACTCTCCACACGCACGAAGGTACTGGCAGAGGAACAAAGGCATGTGGGTCCCGGGGCTGAGATCTCCAAGCCTGCCCGAATCGGGGCTGAGCATCCTCCACCCAGATCCTCCATCTTCTAGTAGGCAGGAGTCACACCCACCAACTGGCCCCCTGGCGCCGTGTAATCCCATCAAGGGCCAAGACCCAGAGACTATAAAATCCAGCTCCAGGAAGCGCACAGCCGCATCTGCGGCCGCGCGACATCTTATCTCTTTCTTACTTTGGACAACCTGGCAGGCTGCTGAATGTAACCTGCCCACATAGCAGAGTCTGGCAAACTCCCCATGGCCTACCCAATATGCCAAATACCAGTAACAATGATGGGTCTCATTCTCCTAACCCTGAAAGAGCCTTGAATATGGCACTTTTTAAAATCTCAGGGCTAGGACAAAGGAGATGTTACTGGTGCCTGCTCGAGGCAATTGACGAAGAACAGGATGATCATGATCATGATCAGGGATCAGGGGGACGGCTCAAAGGTTCTGGGCTGTCACACTCAGCGACTCTGCATGCAATGCCTGCATCCCAGCCCTCTGCACCACCTCCCTGACCCCGCCACTGCCACTGTTAACCTCTCAATTCATGGAAGGTTTGTGGGGGCCCACCAGGATGCCCCACAAGGCCGCTGCTAAGTGGCCCAGCTGGTCTGACCACTGTTTCTCCCTAGGACTGCCCAGAAGGCTGCACTCTGCCTCGCTGCTGTGGAGGGGCAGCTCTCAGGAGGCCCTAAGCCTACTCTAGGATGACACACTGGTGGAAGATCCAGGCACCAAGTGAGGAGTATGCCCTGATGTGGTCCTCTGCCCACATCCTAGGAATCTAAGTCCTGGGAGAGAGTTTGTACCACCTCAGCCCAGAGGGAGACCATGGGGATCATGAAATAAAATCCCTATTCCAAAGCTGAGAAGACTGAGGTGCAGAGAGAGGGTCAGCTCAGCCAGGGCAGCAGGGAGCTGGGCCAGGGCTACTCCTTGTGTTCTTTTTATTTATTTATTTTTTTTTGGGGGTGGTCACACCCAGTGGTACTCAGAGCTTACTTCTGTCTCTGTGCTCAGATATCACCTCTGGTGGGGCTTGAGGGACCACATGTGGTGTTGGGGTTTGAACCTAGGTCTGCCAGGTGCAAGGCAAGCACCCTACCTGCTGCAGCCTCAAGCCTCAAAAGTTCTTTCCATTCAACAACTCATCACTGACTGAGCCCTGCCTGTGTAGCTGGGAGGCGTTGATCTGAGCTAGTACAGCGGACCAAGTCAGCTGGGGCTTCCTCGCAGAGCTTGGGCTTCTGTGAGTGAACAGATCAGCGAGATCAATATGGATGCTGCCAAGTGCCGTGATGGAGATACAAGGGAAGCTGATGAGGAGATGGACAGCTGGGGGACATCACTGAATAGAGCAGCCTTTTCTGGGAGCATGGGGGCTTCAGGGCTGGAGAGAGGTCAGCTGGCACTGCCCAGCCTCAGAGGCCCCCTCCAGCTGCTGGCTCTGGGCAGGTCCCCTTTCCCAATTTGTCTTCTGCTGCATCTCAGGGTCAAGAGGATCCGGATGCTTGGGCTGATGTCCTCCTGCCAGCTATTTCTCAAGTCTTCCACGGACTTGTTGTGCCGCCTTGGAGGAAGCTCTTTGTCTCTCTGAACCTCACTTTCTTCCTCTGCAAAATAGGGAGGCTGGAGCCCAATAGAATGTGAATTCTCACACATCCACATGCTACCCTGCAGTTTGATTTTTATGTGTGTGGGGGGGTTATTTCCAGTGCAGTACTGGGAGGATCATGGGGTGCCAGGAATTAGACCAGGAGTTCTGCATGTGCTCCAGCCCTCTAAGACATCTCCCCCGTCTAACCTGATGATGGTGTGTGTTTGTTTTGATGGGGTCAGGAATGGAACCCAGGTCTTGCAAATGCAAGGCATGCATACTTCGTACCTGACTTGTGGCTTCTGAAGCTGCATTTCTCTTGTTAAGAAAAGAGCGCACTTATTGATTGCTGGTCTTCTACCAAGGCCAGGAAGAAGGAAGTGATGAAATTTTGCTTCTTGGGGTTGGAGTGATAGCACAGCGGGTAGGGCATTTGCCTTGCAGGCGGCCCAACCCGGGTTTGATTCCCAGCATCCCATATGGTCCCCCAAGCATGGCCAGGAGTAATTCCTGAATGCATGAGCCAGAAGTAAACCCTGTGCATCACCGTGTGTGACCCAAAAAGCCAAAAAAAAAAAATAGAAAAAAGAATTTTGCTTCTTATTAGTTATCCTGGACCTCAATGATGGTTATCACCTGCCCCCTATCCACAGGAACACAGAAGACTCTAGTTTCCCATTTGATTACGTAGAATAGACTAACGGACAAATGATCAGTAAAATCTGCTTTACCCTGATCCAGTGCAGTGCCAAGGATCCCTCTTACCTGCTGTGACACTGGGCAATTCTCTGCCCCTCTCTGGGTAATCCTCTTTCCGGGCAGCTGTAGTTGATGGTCATCTAAATGTCAGCTGGGACTGGCCACCTAGGGGGAAGTGAGTCAATTGCTTCTCAGTCCTATTCAGTCTGATGGTGGCCTCTGGCACAGACAGAGCGGGTGGCACTGTATTCATTCAAGCCACCTCCCAGTTGCCACCTCTCCCCATCCAGGGGTCATTACGGCACGCTGGCCTTCTCGTTCCTGGCCCACATCCTGGCCCACACCGCGCAGCGGGATTACCAGTGCTGGGTCTCCGAGAGAACACGCCAGACACTGGCAATGGCCCACGGGGGCTTCCACCTCACTCCCTAGGCGTATGCGTGCTTGGCAGCTGGCGCTCTGCGGATCTGGGCTGGTACCGCCCGTCGGGCCAGACGTGCCCCACCTTCGCCGATCTGGCCAAGCTGGCCATGGAGCTACTGGGCAGTAGGCCGCGGAGGCTCCTGCAGCCCGAGGCGGCACACACTGCTGATGACGCGCTGGAGAGCGTGCAGAACCTTCTCCCTGGTGGCGGCGCTGCGCCTGGGCCCGGGCTGCGTCTCCGGCGCGACCCGGGGGCGCGCTGCCTACGACTTGCCCTGCCCACCCTGAAGTGGGCCCCGTGGGAGGCGGAGCGCATCCCGCAGCCCGGCCCCTCCGCTCGCCTCTGCACCTTCTCCAATCAGACCTTCGACTGGGGGCACCTAGCGGGGCCGGTGGGCGAGCTACGGCAGCGCTAGTTCGGGAGGGGTGGACGCGCTGGTGCCCGCCGCCTTCCGCACTTTGGCGCTGCGCCGCCTGCGCGGTCACCGTTGTCCAGATGCACGTGGCCAGCGTGTTCCTGGGCGCGCCCTGCCGCTTCCTCGGGACGCAGCACGGGCAGCTGGTCAACGGGTCGCGGGGCTAGACCTGGAGCTGCCTCTTCGTCCGCGTCCTCATCTTCGTGCTCCCCTTTAACCCGGAGTTTGGGATTGGGAGAAGGTGAAGCTGCAGGAATCCCACGTGTGGGGCAGTGGTGCTATACAGAGTAGTCTCTGGACCCCACGGCCCTTTCGGAAAGTGTTTGGTGTCTACGCGGAGGGGGTCCGGGAAGAAGCATTATGTATGGAAATTTAAAGTACTACGTGGTTGTCAGTACTTCTGTATTGATAGAACCAGGACTAAATATGAGCTTTGTGTTTTGACTTTTTATTTTATTTTCAGGAACTCAGAGGCCATCAGGGCTACACCTGGCAGCACAGTGGGGAGCAGCTGTAGGCTCTGGGGGTCCAGTCTGGGGCCTCATGCTTGCACTAGGGCGGGTCAGCATCTGAGCCCACTTCCTGTGCTCGCATGCACACACCAGCATCTCAGCCATTTCCTTGACCATTAGTTTCTGCCACAGCTGAACTCTACACTTAAAAATGGGTCACAGGGCCTCAGGCATCACTTCTGGAGGGGCCGCCTGGGAACCATATGGGATGCTGGGGATGCAACCCTGGGCTACCGTGTGCAAGGCAAATGCACTTCCCACTGTACTAGCACTCTGGCTCCTAACTTGACTTTCAAAACAAGCAACATTAGTAATTGAGGAGGCAGAACCAGGGTGAGTGTGGTAGCTTTTCTGTGCGTGGGGCCAGAGCTTGTTCCTTGGCAGTGCAGACCCCCTAAGCATGTCACTGTGACCCTGGAGGCTCCAGCTCTGTTCCTGGCAGGGTAGGGCAGGAGCTTCAGGGCATCCTAGCACCCTGGAATTGAACCAGGCACCACTAGGCATGATCCCCTGGACTCCCTGAGTTCTGCTTGGAAGGTACTTCCTCCAGTTATAATTTACATCAAATAAAAGCATTATCAAGAAACACTCCAGTGATTTTGACAAATACTTATATCCACCACCACAATCAAAATAGAAAACATTGTCATTAACCTCACCGCAAACCCAGCCCAGGTGACCACTAACCTACTTTCTATCACTATCCTTTATTTGCCTGTAGAATACAAATTAATGAACATATACATCTGAGTCTTTCTTCCGGGTGATGCTTTTCAATAGAAGAATTAGTATAGCAGCTTGGGCAGTTGCATTGCACACAGCCAACCCAGGTTCAATCTTTGTTATCCCATATAGTCCCCTGAGCACTGCAGGTATGGCCCCAAAGCAAAACAGAACAAAAATAAAAAACAAAAAAGGAAAACAAGGTACTAAACCCTAAAACCCTTACCTATTGATTGCTATGTAATAGTGTAGTATTCCATGGTATGGGAACATCAGTTGTTTATCCATTTATTGTCTGATGAGCCCTTTGTTTCTAGATTGGCACTAGCATGAGAAAGCATTCCAATGTAGCTATTTTGCAGGGAAGAAGGGCTGGGAATATGTGCTTTTATTTCTCTTGTGTAAATACCTAGGTGTGACTGCCCTGCAGTTCCCTAAAGCATCGTATTATTTTATTCCCCCATCTGCAACATGAGATGTGCTATTGCTCTGCATTTTTGCCTATACTTAGCAGTTGTCAGTATTTTCCACTTTGAAACATGTGAGTGGCAGTGAAGTTCTCCCTCATTGTGGTTTTAACAGCACTGCATGTAACCTGTGGTAAAAGTTCTTTGTATGGGCTGGCTTCAAGTCAAACATATGCATTGCACATCTTGTCCTCCAGGTTTTGACTTGCTTTTCAATTTTTTGATGTGTCTCTTGGAGAATAGAAGTTTAAAATTTTTGATGCATTTTATGCCGATTTGATCTAATATAAAACTTGGGTTTGTATTTTGTCTGGCCTTTCATTTCCCATGAAGTTGTAAGAAACAATCTGTGTACCCTTCTCCTAGGTTCCTCCAGTAGAAACATCTTGCCAAACATATCACAAGAGAGTTACTGACAATTATAGTCCAGATGCGGAACATTTTCATCTTCATGAGAATCTCTTTTGTTGCTCATTTCTAGATGGTTCTACTGGATTACCAACTTTTCCCTCTCCTTAACCCTTGAAACCACCACTTTGCTTTACATTTTTTTTTATCATTTTGTCATTTCAAGAATAGTCTATAATTGGAGTTACACAGTGTATAATCTTTCAGAACCCCTCATCCCGCTCAGCATAATTTGCTGGCAAGTTGATGCAAGTAGCCAGGAGTAGCCAAGATTTGAATCTCTCTTGTAGATCAAACCCTGATCAGTCACATAAAAGGCAAGCGCCCTGCCTGCTGTGTTACTGGTCCAATACCAACATTTTGTAATTTTAAGTATGTAACCTAGGTATTTTGTTAAAGTTTAGAATTCCATGTTCTTTGGAGTGTCTGTAAATACTATCATATTTTTAATTTTACTATCTACATGTCATGTAAAAATAAGTAATTTTGGTATGTTCATCTTTAATTGTGTGACCAACTTAATTCTAGGAGGCTTTTTTTGGGGGGTGGGTGGGTGGGGTAGGTGCTCAGGGCTTACTCCTGGTTCTGTACTCAGGGATTACTCCTGGAGAGGCTTGGGGAATCATATGGGAATCAAATCTGGTTAGCTGCATGCAAGACAAGTGCCCTACTAGCTATACTATCTCTCTGGCCCCAATTCTAGGCAGCTTTTAAAATTATCTTGTTTCTTTTAGGATTTCTTGGAATTTTCTATATAGATAATTGTGTGATTTGAAAGGAGAAACAGTTTTGTTTCTTCCTTTTAAATTTCATGTAATGTTTAGTTTATTATGTTATCTGTCCTATTTCACTGTCAGGAGTTTCTAATACTATGTAGACTAAAAGTGATGAAAGTGTCTTTCTTCCAGTCATAGGAGAAATGCATTCTGTCTTTTGCCACAAAGTACAGTGTCGTCTGTGAATCTTAGTTTTCTGAACACATTTTTAAAAATCATAAATAGATTTTGAACTTGGTAATTTTCCCTGCATAATTTTATATCATGTAATTTTTCTTTTGTATCCCACTTACCTGGAAGATTACACTGATGTTTTTTTTAGTGATGAGTCCTGGAGGTAGTATCTAGGCTAACAGATAACAGGGACAATCTTTATTTCAACCTCTGCTTCCTGCTTAATGGCTGTATTTCTAGCCACCACACCCCTTTCCCCGCTGTACCCCCAGCCCTCACACTAACTGGGGCCCCCCACTGACTGGGACAGTCAAGCTGTGAAGCACGGGGTAGGAAGTGACATACTCTGTATCCCCATCAAGCTTCTTAGGTGGAACTCTGGGGCTCAGCTCTGGCCCATTACCAGCCCCCTCCCCCAGGGGGCAGAATGGCTCCGTGGAAGGATATCCTCCCTCCTTCCATCTGCCTCCCAGAGGCTGACTGCTCTGAGGAACAATAAGGAAGAGAGGGACACTGAGTTGCTGCTATGTGCCGGGCTATCTACTGGACCCCGTTAACCATGTGTCCACCATATACTCATTGCACAGTCTCGTGAGAGGGCGGCTGTTAGATGCTCTGGCTGTAGTCTCAGGTCATCATAGAGGCCTCTCACTACTACCCTCAGGCCTCCCACAGCTCAGGGTCCCACTTTGCTGTCACTTTCAATTCAAAATGACTGTTTTTTTTTTTTTGTGGGCCACACCAGGTAGTGCCCAGGTGCGGCTCCTGTCTCTGTGGGAGTTCTTCCTGGCTGTGCTCTGGGGACCAGGTGAGCTGCCAGGGATCAAACCCAGGTCTCCCGCATACAGAGCATGTGTCCAGCCATTTGCACTATCTCTTTGGTCAGTACAGCCAGTGGTTCAGTGTGATGCAGTGTAAGCCCTTTGGAACTACTCAGATAACTCCTGTCGTGTCTGGGGCCTCCAGGATCGAAGCAGAATTGGCTGTGTGCAAAGCATGCACCGTAAACCCTATCCTATCACTCCAGTCCCTCAACAATTTATTTTGGTTTTGGTTTTGGGCCACACCCAGTGGTGCTCAGGACTTATTCCTGGCTCTGTGCTCAGGGGTCATTGACCAAGTGTTGCTGAGGATTGAACTCTGGGCACCAGCATGCAAAGCATGTTCTACAACCCATTGAAGCATCTTTCCCACCCCTGGATAAGTGTTTATAAACTATTATACATACATTTCTCTCTTCCCTTTATTATTATATCAGAAATGACGAGAGTCCTAAACAGGTGGTCATGGTGCTTTCTGGGTGCACACACTTAATTGTGGGGCTCACAATGCACTTGTCTTGTTCAACTTGATTGAATACTTGTAGCAGCACTGAGGATCCCAAACAACAGAATCTCTAGGGTTATCCTGGGTAAGGAAGGAGTTGCCAAGGATAAAACTTGGGGCCTCACTGGCTATATGCTTGCGAGGCAGGCATTTGACCACTGAGCTATCCCTGAGCACGGTGGACAAGCATTTTTATCTGTTATGTACATTGATGTATTCCCAGCATCTGAGGGCCATCAGCAAACATTTGTTCAGTAAATAACCAGTCTTCATTTGCTAGTTGATGACATTGAGACCCAGAGAGGTGAAGCAACCTCCCTCCTGTTACATAAAATTGTGGCAGACAGGATTTGATCTATCTTTTCATCCGTGGTTCTATGCTCTTACCCTGTTGTTCATATTCTTATACTCCTTGTTCAAGGGACTATAGAAACATGTTTCTTTGTGCTTGTGAAAGGGCTGGAGTGATAGCATGGGCTGGAGTGATAGCACAGCGGTAGGGCATTTGCCTTGCACGCAGCCAACATGGCCAACCCGAGTTCAATTCCTCTGCCCCTCTTGGGGAGCTCGGCAAGCTACCGAGAGTATCTCGCCCGCACGGCAGAGCCTGGCAAGCTACCCATGATGTATTCGATATGCCAAACACAGTAAAAACAAAGTCTCCAATGGAGACGTTACTGGGCCTGCTCGAGCAAATCGATGAACAACGGGAGGACAGTGACAGTGAAGGTGTGAAAGCAATATGGGTGGGCCCAAGGGCATCTATTCATTCAGAAATTTT